AAAAAAAAAAAAAAAAAAAAAAAAAAAAAAGTTTGAGAATGCGGTCTTGCTCTCTTCCCCAGATTGCCCTTGAATTTGTGATCTATTTATTTCAGCCTCCTGAGTAGTTTAATATACCAAATACTAATTTAAACTACAGAAAGGCTTATAGCTTTCAATTTAGTCAGATTATGTCTACATTTAGGGCATTTCCATCTTTAAATCAAGTGACAGGGAAATGAATTAGTAAGCATAAAGTATTTGGGGCCAAAACATCCCCCAGATTGCCCTTGAATTTGTGATCTATTTATTTCAGCCTCCTGAGTAGTTTAATATACCAAATACTAATTTAAACTACAGAAAGGCTTATAGCTTTCAATTTAGTCAGATTATGTCTACATTTAGGGCATTTCCATCTTTAAATCAAGTGACAGGGAAATGAATTAGTAAGCATAAAGTATTTGGGGCCAAAACATCATTACAGTGGTAACTTGGCTCAAGAATTTATTTTGTTCCTTAAAATCAGGAACAAGACAAGGATGTCCACTATCACCATTCCTGTTCAATGTAGTTTTGTAAACATTAGCCACAGCCATTAGACAAGAGAAAGAAATAAAAGGAATAAAGATAGGAAATGAAGAAGTCAAATTGTCATTATTTGCAGATGACATGATACTCTATATAGAAGATCCCAAGAATTCCCTCAAAAGTATTCTAGACTTAATAACAAAATTCAGTTAAGTAGCTGGATACAAGGTCAACACACAAAAATCAACAGCTTTCCTGTACATGAACAGACTCATTGTGAGAGAAATGGGGCAAACAATTCCTTTCACTATAACACTCAAAAATTGAAATACCTACGAATCAACCTAAAAAAGAAATCAAAGACCTCTACCCTGAAAAAAATAGCACTCTGAAAAAAGAAATCAAAGATGTTATCAGAAAACAGAAAGATATCCCTTGCTCCTAGGTAGGAAGAATCAATATAGTGAAAATGGCCATACTTCCAAAACTGTTTATAGATTGAATGCAATCCCAATTGAAAGTCCAGCAGCATACTTCATGGATCTTGAGAAAACAACCCCAAAATGCACTTGAAACCAGAAGAGACCTAGAATAGCAAAAGCAATTCTAGACAATGAAGACAAGATAGGGTGTGTCACAATCCCCATTCTAAAACTAGGCTACAAAGCTACTATGATAAAAAACAACATGATACTGGCAAAGAAACAGACCCGAGGACCAGTGGAACAGATTAGAAGAGGCAGAAACAACTCAAGACACACTGAGCCACCTCATCTTCGACAAAGGAGCCAAACACCCTCACTGGATGAAAGGTAGCTGCTTAATAAATGGTGCTGGAAAAATTGGGTTTCAACTTGCCAAAGATTAAAACTAGACCCATACTTCTCATCATACATTAAACTAAAATTGAAATGGATTAAAGACCTAAATATCAAGACAGAAACACTAAACTACCTGGAAGAGAGGTTAGTTAGAACTCTTGAAGATATTGGTGTAGGAAAAGATTTTATGAATAAAACCTCAGCTGCCCGTGAACTAGCACAAACAATCAACAAGAGGGATCTCTTCTTATTAAAAAGCTTTTGCATAGCAAGAGAAACAACCAATAGTGTGAAGAGACAACCCACAGCATGGGAAAAACTTTTCACCAGCTCTTCCTCAGACAAAAGTCTACTATCTAGAATATATAAAGAACTTTAAAAAATCAGACCTCCCAAATTTAAAGACCCAATCCAATAATGGGCATCTGAAATGAACAGACATTTCTCAGACAAAGAAGTAGAAATAGCAAATAAACATATGAAAAAATGTTCAACATCACTGGTCATTTGAGAGATGCAGATGAAAACAACACTGAGATTCCACCTCACCCCAGAAAGAATGGCTGCTATCAAGAAATCAACCAATGACAAATGCTGCCAGGGCTGTGGGGAAAGAGGAACCCTGCTCCACTGCTGGTGGGAGTGCAGACTGGTCCAGCCACTGTGGAAATCAGTACGGAGATTCTCAAAGAACTAGGATTGGAGGTTCAATTTGATCCCTGCTATTCCCCTGCTGACTATCTTCCCCAAAGAATTAAAAGAATCATACCACAGTGATATATGTGTACCCATGTTCATAGCAGCACAATTTGCGATAGTTACAATTTGGAAGCAGCTCAACTGCCCATCAACAGGAGACAGGATAAAGAAAATGTGTGGGTTTTTTAATAAAATGGAGTACTACTCAGACACAAAGAATGAGAAACTAGAGACATTTATAGCTAAATGGACACACACTGAGGCAATACTCAAGTGAAATAAAAAGGACATGTATGTGTAAATATGGAATAGTTTCTCTAGTGTGAGAAATTGAAAATGTGAATAAGGACTAAAAGGTATAATAGATAATGTGAAATAGGAAGAAAATGTCCAAAGGGAAGGGGAAGTAGGAAGGGTAGGGAAAAGGAAAGAAATGAATGGAATTAAAATGAGAAAATGGAAACAAAGTATTTGTAAATAGAAAGGGGTGGAGGGGGTAAAAGGAGGGCAGAGGAATGGGAAAAAAATAAGAACCAAGATAGATTACATAAAGGGACAAATTTCCAATGATGAATGTCATTACATTGTGTACCTAAAAAGTACCAATAAAATTAATTTAAAAAAAAAAAGAATTCACAGTTCTGGGGAAGACCGTTACATTCACGTTTATCACCTGATGTGGAGCTCAAGAATGGAAACATTTGCCAAATGCTTCTGTTTGTGAACTGAATTGTTTGCAAACAGAGACATTTGTGAAATGAGCATTATTG